TGCATCTTTCCACGGTAACAATGCAAACTAGCGTTAAATTGATCGTGAATCTTTCTTTGATAGTTTTCCTTCTTATGTGTCCTTCTTGTTTGTTGTATTTTCAGTAGTTGCTTCGATTCATTGAATAAATCCCGTTATCCATTTAGTGTGATTTGTTTAACTGTTGATATTTTTATTTGATGATTACATTCGCCATTTTGTGGAATGCGAGGAGCACTTGGTTGAAATTGAACTCCTTAATTACAGGTAAGTGCTTCTGTTAGTCGTTTTCGTATCGCTGCCCACATTTGGTTGATCGAATCGCACCACAGTACTTCTACAAAATCGCTCGTCCACATTTATAATATCGTCTGCCGATTGTGCTAATCTTCAGTGGTCGTTTTCTCGCTTAGATCTGCTCAACATCACAATGGTATGACGTTAATTCAATCATCCATATGAGTTGCTTCTGTAGCGTAACTATCAGCCAAAACTATCTCAATAATACCTTATTGTGTTTGATTGATACTCTGAAAGAATACCAGATGACAACTTACGATTTGCTATTAATCACGTTATTCGTCGATGATTTGATAATTAGAATCGGTAATTTGAACTAGTATTGAGAAGTGGAATTCTGCAATCAATCGGAATCTTTCCTTATAGGAGAAACAACAACAGAATGAACTCCTCGCTGAAATCGATAAAATGATGGACGATCAACCAGAGCAAGTTTATGAGAAAATCAAGAAGGTTTGTCGCCTTCAGTTGATAATATCGAACCGAGAAGACAATTGAAATACTGAAGGCTTGAATCCAGATTTCATATCAAAGCAATGAGCTATATCAAAAAGATCTAAATTCGTGCATATGCGAACGAATCGATCAACTTGAACAAAGCGAGAGACTTCTTCAGATATTCGACAACGATGAGACGGCCAGGCAAAACGTTGAATTGTTATGGCGAATGGCAAAAGCGTGCTTTCTAAGTGGAAATAAACTGCAGAAGAAGAGCGTGAAAAGAAAACTTTTCATCTATGAAGGTAAACTTCAGAATCGTTGTGCTTCCTAGAACGGCACTGATCGAAAT